TCATCAGTCAAACCTTTTGGACTATGCACAGAGTGCCTGCAGATGAAGTATTTATACCAGTTTTGAATCGCTCCTTTTTTAGGCTTACGTAATTTCGCTTTTTCACTGTTAAGAATTCAAGATTGTCGTATATTGCTAGTGGGAGCATTCTGGTACTGGATTGCAAGCTCAACAGGAAAGGTATTTGACTCGGAATGGCCTATCCTAGCAAGTGTGTACACCTAATGACCGCCTTGAGAAGCTGATTACAAACATGCTTCTCTTATTTGCTTATCTGTTTATTGAACAAGGTTATAGGCATTTTTGGCTTCGACGGAACTGAATCCAGTTGTTTGTTGCAGAAGTAAAGTAGTAAAATAACTTCAAACTACTCCTATTAATTTTTCTATATACAGTAGACATATCTCAGAAACGATGTGACTTTGGAGCAAATTCACATTTATTATGAATAGATCGCTGTTGACAGTACAGACCATGCAACTTGAAAACGAAAGAATACTTCTAACTTTGCTCAGTAAGTCGTTAAGCTGACAAATCGTTTTGAAGCGCTTGAAGACCTTTCGACTGATATAAATCCCATTTTGAAAGTCCACTCCGAGTCAAATACCTTCATTATTACATTGGTACGATAGCTGGGACTGTGTAGCACCAACAGTTCGTTGATGATATAAAAAAGTGCTTGAAGTTTGATGAAGTCTATTTAGAGATTTAGGCTTTTTCTGCTTTACACGTAAAAGCGGTAAATTTTAGTGAGGTTTTGTATAGAATAAGCTCTAGAACAATCAGATTATATGTGAATGATAAAACTCGGCTAGCGCTCGATTGAAGGCGCCAAATTGCGCTGTTAATTTCCGAATCCATTACTTTTTTGATGCAGCAAAAATGAAAGGGATGCGCTATCTCGGATATGTTATTCAGTGAGCGATGGCGCTAGCTATAACATAGAGAATAAGAGATTTGCGAGGGGAGGCGTGCAAGTGGCACCCAGGCAGCCGACTGCTGCCGCAGCCAGCCGCCAGAGCTGCCGGTAAAACCGCTGCAGATGGTACAGTAATTATGCTCGTCGTCTAAAACTCTTGCCGAGAGGTTTCCTCGCACCTCGTCGCTCTCAGGTGCGAAATCAGCCTCAGGAAAGCGTGATATCCTCGATATCATTTCAAACAGCAAAAATTTTGTTTTTTGAGAAACATGCAAATAAACAAAGGTGAATAAAGGAGGGTTTTTCTAGAGGAAAATGATCACAAACAAATTACTTTAAAACTCATAGGAAGCAGAGAAAAAATTAGGAATTCTCAAATTTCTGGAGATTTTTTTTTCGCTTTCACGTCGAAGATTGGACGAGAACAATTACAGGAAAATGTCATGCTTATAACGGTAAGAAAACTGTGTCAAAATGGTTATTTCATACATAGCGATGTTAAGCGAGCTTAAAGGCAGTGTCCGGGCAAAAACTCGATTTTGAGATTTTGTGTTTATACGGGCCTATTCGCCATGCTGAATCCGAAAATCCACATTGGAAAGCGCGAAAACGGCGAAAAAGGGCTTTAACACAGGAGGGAAATCAGCAGGTGGGCGGGGCTTTCCCCAGTGCGACTTCAAGCTCCCAGCTCCCGGAGCGATTATCTCGAATCTGCTAGCCGTCCTGACATCGGGAGGGCGTGCATGAGTTCCTAGCACCTTTCCTCGCACCAAGTTCGCACGAGCATTCGCACCCAGGAGGGTTCTAGCACCCCCGCGTTTCAGAGGTCAGTCCCCGCCCATTGCTCTACCCCTTTACTGGTCTCATTGTGAGGTGTGCAAGCGGCGAGAACTAGATTCAGGTATTAACGGTAATAAGAGAGGAAAAATGAGAAGAAACGAAGAACCTAGTTTGAAAAAACCTAGCTCTACAATGTGCATTTTCGGATTCAGCATAGCGAATAGGCTCAAGTAAGCACAAAATCTCAAAATCGAGTTTTTGCCCGGACACTGCCTTTAAGGCAAAGTAGGTCAATCAAACTGAGTAAGTCAATGATAGGGTGATATCCCATTCTCAACATCTATATCATTTTATGCAGCAGAGAAACAATTACAAAACTGAATAAAATAAATAATCATTTTGACAGAGTTTTCTTACCGTTATAAGCATGACATTCCCCTGTAATTTCGTCCATTCTTCGACGTCAAAGCAAAAAAAATCTCTAGAAATTTGAGAATTCCTAACTTTTTCAGCTTCTACTTCCTTTGAGTTTTGAAGCGATTTGAATTCGTGATCATTTTCTTTTGAATTTGAATTGCAATTGTTATTTGTTGAATTGTCTTTTGAAAATCCTCTTCCCTGTTTATCTTTGTTTATTTGCATGTTCCTCAAAAAACATGAATTTTCTGCTGTTCGAAATAATCTAGATATAGAGGATATCAGGCTTTCCTTAGGCCTAAGGCATACCTCACGCGATTCGGCAGAATCGCCACTTTCACGCAACTTGGCGATTTGCCAGATTTCCATAAATTTATCGTGCGCACTTCTCGGACGCATATTTGGGTAGCTTGTGCAAGCTGTTGCAAACAGAGCAAGTCCTGACCAAAGGCAGCGCGTTAACGACGAATTACGAAGAGTCGCTGTTGTGCCAAATCGCGCAGCGACCGGAATCGCGCGAGGTATGCCTTAAGCCTTAGGCTGATATCGCACCTCACAGCGACGAGGTGCGAGAAAACCTCTCGACAAGAGTTTTACACGACGGGCGTAGTTACTGTACCATTTGCAGCGGCTTTGCCGGCAGCTCTAGCGGCTGGCTGCGGCAGCAGTCGGCTGTCTGGGTACCACTTGCTACGCACCCATTTGCGAGGTTTATAAAAGTTTTGTTGAGGTCATGCAAGAGATGTTCCAAACATGTTGTTGGAAACTAACAGGCCTTCCGACTGGCAGTACATGTGCTCCGCAGCATTCGCCAGATATATGTAACAGCACTGGGACATTGCTTGCCTTGTTACTTATTCTTCTTTTGGAAATTACTCTTTTGACCTCAACGATTAGAGGGTGGAAGTTAGGGCTTAGTAGAGGTGGCGCATTTACAGGCTAGATGTCGTTTTTCTCAGAGAAAAACGACATCTAGCCTGAAGAAGACTCGTAATGTTCTCAAGAATGGCTCTCAGAAACCTGATACAATATTAGCAAGCACAAAGCTAACGCTTAGTAAGCTCTTATTACCTCCGACGTCGTTTCAATAACGGGTAGATTAACACGTTACAAACATGACAAGCACTTAGACCTGTTTGCACACGATTTTAGCGTGTTAAAACACGATCTTTATGCACAAGTAAATAAATAATCACTTCGCTTACAAAAGGTAAGTAGTATTGAGCCACCAAATTTGTTGTGTACCTCCGCGGGACGATCAAAAGGAAAGTATGAAAAATCATGGAAAAATTATGTAAATGAAAGGAACTGTAAGTGTTTTTTTTCCAAATTTGGGTTGCCAGCGCAACCTGGGAGCACCCTGGGTTGCGTGGAAGCAAACAAAGTCATACTTTTCTCCCTTCTTCACATGATTTTCCAAAATTTTTCACATAATTCTATTGTTCAGCTCGAACTTTACCTAGGAATACTTAGCTTAACTCAAATTTCGTCTCCTCTGCTTTCCTACGGCTGCTACGGCCCTTAAATGATATAAAAACCGCCTTTTCCACGTGCTGCTGTTTTATCTCCGATCCTTGCATTTTGCAAAGCAAGCTTGACATTTTTTTTGGGACAAAAAGCAAAGGGGTTTCGTTGTGGCCGAAAAGACACAAAATTAGCGACGTTTTTTAGTCGTTCGTTTTTCGAAGTTTTTTTTTCAGGGTCATGGTTTAGGGTCAGAGGATACTTTTTAAATTTTAAGAAATTCAAGGGGAACTTCGTTTTTTACATGTTCCAAAAGCCACCTCGTACCGAGCCTTGATGCCACCTCCTGTTGGGCCCTGGTGGAAGCATCATCTACATAGCAACGCCTCAGCACGGTTGGAAGGCAACATCAGGATGCACCTGATTTAATCTAGGGGTTTAGCACAGTGACTGATATATCTTTGATTGACGGTAACATTCGAGAAACAAATAGATTGGAGGGTGTAGATAAATTTTGAAATAATTTTCAAAGACTAACATAAGCAACTCAGCCGTCAAACTTTTGTTATAGCCGCTGTATTACACGCAACTGCAGAATAGATTCCGCATGAGACGAAATACAACATGCATAAAACTTTTTCTATTTTTCCCACACTTTTTTGCAAGCATTTGTAAGCTTTAAAGACACTATCAAAATGAAGATTGAAGTTTTTGCGAGAAGCAAGTAATTGCCGAAAAGTCCATAAACATGCGATTTTATATTGAACTATTTCACAGGATAATCCTAGACAAGCTGTCGAAAACGACGTTCTAAACTTGGCTACGTAGGATGTAAGGCTATGTACCAAAAAAAACAGAATTTTCAGTGTGATAAATGATAACCGATAATGACAATGACAACCATAATTTTACGTAATGGTCAAAAAGCCATTACCTAATTGCATATTCTCCCATGTCGATGGACAGAAGGACGAAACACGAGCTAAGATGGTTTACGACTGACCTCAAGAACATTAGCATTCTTACAAATACTCGGAGATTTTCCCTTGATTCCAGCAAACAAAAGTCTCATAATCTGCCATACACTTTACGACCTGGCGTCAAATCGCGGAAAAACTCTGACCAAGGCAATCAAGTCTATTGGAATACAAGTTCCGCACTTGTTATAGTACTGAACGTTTTTATGCTCGGAAAGAAGATTAGAAGAGAGAATGAGGTAAAGTTCGTAGATTTAAATCAAAACATCGGGTGTTACCGCATTTAATCTTGACATATAGTAAAATCAGTTGAGAAACTGTTATGAAGAAACATGAATGTGACCTTAAACAAAATAAGAGCAATATCTGGATTTTCTATGCGGAGAACTGACGGAAAGGTAATTATATTGAAACGAAAATTCAAAAAGACGGAAGAGACCTACACGCATGTACAACAGCCACCGCCGCCGCCACCACCAACACCACCTCCTCCCCCTCCTCCACATCCTTGGGATTCAGTGAAGTCAACGGCTAATGCCAGTAAGAAGATGAGGCTACGCATCTGGGAAGCGAGAAGCTGAATGGGCTTGTGCTAGCGCTTCGCATTCCTTCTTATAGGAGAACGACAACTTTTTTGTTCTCCAAAACGATCGCCACTTTTTTCGCCGCGCTTTTCTCCTTAGTCCACGACATCGCACGCCCTCAATACACAGCACACAAGGGCATTCAAAACTAAAACTTTTCAAAGGGATAGGAAGGTTTCTAATTCGATCACAATGGCTAGTAAAGAAGTACATCAAGTATGACTTCTGAAAAACACGCAATACGATAGACGTCACCTACGATATACGTGACATAAACTTTCTTGAAGTTTGATGACTGATATGAAGTCTTGACTACACCGTCTTTGAAATTAGATTTGAATTATGCATTGACTTGGATCAGTGCGGTATCGTGCGTCCGAAACTGCATCAGCATTTCACTTTGCGTCTATCATTTTGAGCCCGAATCGGATAGCCTGTTGTTCGCGCATGAATTGAGACAGCCACTGGTATTACACGGATTGCCAGCAGATTGGTGTCACGCATGCCTAGCTTTGGACGTGTTGGCAAAGCTAGAAACTGGTGTAATCTCAAGGTCGCAGTGACGTAGCTTAAAAATAATCCGGGCAAATTTGTTTTTCATCTCTGTTGGTCGATCTTGATGTTCATTATTTCAGAAAAAAGTTGTGTATTTATTCAGTGTCAATATGTCAAGCATCTTTTCGATTTACAGTTTCGCATGAAGCGGAAACTGCAAAAAAGGTCTTAGTAAACCACATCCACCCCTTAACGTCTGTAGCCAGTAGCAACTCTTGCAAGACTGAAAAGCGATTGCAATCGAATGTTGCGCATTAGCAATTTTCATCCATAGACTTTCTGCATATGTAGATTGAGTTAGATTAATTAGATTATTTAGTTAGATTGTAGGTTCATTGAAAGTATGAATACATAGAGCAGTAATGTGCAAAACATGATTTTCTTCGAAGACTTCTCCTTATTTTCGTAGTGATGAGCATTTGGCCATTTATGACTTCAAAGAATAATGGCTATTACCGGTCACAAAACGTGCTACAAAACCAGTCTTTCCAGCGTGCTATACAATGCCAACTTTGAGTATTTGGATATCAAATAAAACTAAGGAACAAAAGTAATGGTCGGGCGAACGTGGCCAGTTAATTGAGCGAATTCAATAAACATCTTTTGAAATTGTCCTTGACTAGACATTTTCTTGCCTAAAAGTCATCTAAAGGTGGAGTACGATGACGGCCGTTATGGAATTCCAGACCAAAAAAAACGCTGAAAAAAGTGTAAATGTTGTATACACAGTGTCGTTTTAAATGATACTAGAACTCGAAATTCGTACGGCTATAAGAGTTCGATATCATGTGAATTCACAAAATTTATAATGTGTATAAGCAGATTCGCGCTTCACTGATTTCATGAAGAAATGCAAAAGACATTTTCTTAAGCGGATTGTAAATTTCTTCACACCAATCACCACCAATTTTTGCTTGTTCGTAAATCCTAAAACTTGAAATTACACTCAACAGTGAATTACACTGAAAGACTACTTGCAGACACTCATGAATTTCATGCTTATTGTTGTGCAATGAAACATGAAATGCGTCATTATGCCTTTTATGGTCGCATAATTGTCTCCACCAAACCTGCCGGATTGAGACTGACGCGCGTGATTTTGTGACCATAGGCTTCGTAGCATGGACGCAGGAATGATGGGCATGCATAAAGCAGTTTCATTGACTTCTATCACCAACGTAAACCACAGTAGTGGGATAAATGTTCGACAAAGAAGGAAGTGGCAGTGTGGCAGTGGCAAGACCGTCCTAAATATTAGTGTTCTGAATTTCTCTCTTCTTCTAAATGCTTCTATTCTTCCGCCGTTCGTGTTTTTGTTTGCGTAAATAGTATCTCATTATTTTCTGATAAAAAAGGCACCATTGTTGTCAACTACGTATAGTCATTGAGCCATTCAGTTGTACACCTTCCAGAACGGCTGCTTTTCAAGGTTTTTTCAAAACATTTGCCACAGAGCATCATTGTTAGGTCGATAACTTGACGGCAATCATCAACTAAGGCCTAAGGCATACCTCGCGCGATTCCGGGCGCTGCGCGATTTGGCATAACAGCGACTTTTTGTAATTCGTCGTTAGTGCGCTTCCTTTAGTTAGAACCTGCTCTATTTGCAACAACTTACACAAGCCACCCGCCTATGCGTTCGAGAAGCGCGCACGATGAATCTGTATAAATCTGGCAAATCGCCAAGTCGCGTGAAAGTGGCGATTTGGCCGAATCGCGTGAGGTATGCCTTAGGCCTAAGACATTTGAGCTAAAGTGGCTATATATGACACTTAGTGTTTCCAGTGAGAGCTCTCTTTGCAAGTGTTGTTGCAGTTCTTCAATGCGGCATTCTTGTGCATAAATATGCATAGATGGACGTGTCGTCATCCACTTCATAAGTGGCCGTCTTAGAGGAGAAGGAGCAAGGCATAGTCATTCAACTCCTTTCTATATATGTAGGATATTTTTGCTGAGGGTGTTCAGCGGTGGTGTGAAAGTCATGTATGACACCGTTCTTGCTCCTCAGCTTCTTCAAATCTTTTTAATCTCATTTTGCTTCGAAACTACATGTTTTCCGGCAAATATTGTATATATAACATATAATGACAACAGTTAAGTGACATAAGGGGACAATTGAGACAGCTGAAGAGCGTAAGCTCCTGGTTGTAGATGTAGAATCACTCTGAGGCGATTTTTTGGGTGTTTGTCAAAAATTTTCACATTGCGGAACTTCCAATCTGAATGTTGTCGTTAGTTTCTGGAATTTACAATACGAATGGGCTACATTGGAATGGTGCATATGTGGAGTTGAGCTACAGCTTGCAAAAACTCTGAACTGTCTGATGTCCTTTATTCTTGATTTAGAGGAGTCAAGCCTTTAACGAAGTTGCACTGAAAAGTTTTGTTTCGCGACTGTAAAAAGACGCAAGTATGTGTTTACTGCGACGCCGTGCAGCAATCGCGGTCAATGGCCCCCTATTAAAAGATGCGTTATGCTGAAAAGTTAGAGCAGTGAGGAAGAGATAGGATCCCGTGTACTTATATAAGGGCAAGTGACCAACGAAATAGGAAAAAACCTTTTGTCGCGATGCAATACCTCCTCCTACTCACTCTGGCCACGGGCTCATGCGCCTTTCTCTTTGGAGGTGGTGGCTGCGGATGCGCGTAAGCTTTTTCCGCATGTTTTTACTCACCAACTTGTAATGTATTTTCCAGGCCTCCCCCACCACCACCCTGCGGGTGTGGCAGTGGCTTCGCACTTCCGCCGCTTCAACTGCCATCGCTCTTTCCGTCTGCCTGCGGATGTGCACCACCTCCGCCACCTCCGTGCGGATGTCCTCCAACACCGTGCGGTAACGGATGCGGAAAGTAAAAGTCAGCCATCTCAATGAACGTCAGTGCATACTCAGGGAACAAATCACGTGCTTTTCACATTTTCGCTCAATTAATAAGATATTTTTGGTGTACCAACGGCAAGATTACAACAGCAATGACGAACTTGTTGTAAATGAAAGGTTGAGGCTTGAAATCACTGCCTTCCATGCTGGTCTTAATATGTGCAATCTGCCAACCGCATGGATTGCAGCGCACGCGGCGGCTTTGAAAGGCCCAATATAGTAGGTTTCAACTCGGTTTAGGCGGAAATTGGAGTGGCGGGAGTTTGCTTCGCAGCGATTCGCGCCGCTTAGCAGTCTGCGTCTCTTCATTTCTATCTTGCTGAGCCAGTGGCGGTGCGGACGCGCTGCGCCATTTGGAATGTTTCACCTACTCTGCTTTGAAAAAGACTGAACAAATAACCATCTTTAAGTCGTGCTTACGCAAGGTTTTAGCCCCGTTGTCGCAGCATACACTGCTTCTCCTTGCGGTAGATAAATGCCATACGGGATTTCCAATAAAAACTAAGGGGAAATTCCTAACTAGGCGCTGCTCAATGTCAACACAAGTGACTTACTCACTGGGATGAATTTATACAGCAAATCTTCCCGCACGTCCACCATATCTACCGAACAACTTTTCATCATTTTGGAGGGTGCGCGAAAGCATAAGTGATTGCAATGGCCCATCTACGAAAACATGAAATCCGCTAGTGTGTGGACTCAACTACGAAAATGTTTGAGCATAGTTCCCTCTGCTATGAATGTGACTTGCGTTGTCGCTTAAGCAGTGCTTTGGCTGGAGCCCTCATATAAAATAGCCGTTCGCCATAAGCTAACCGCGCAACAAGGGGACTTTCTTCAGTTTGCCGATGTGCATGGTTGTGACGGATTTGCGCAAGGAGTCATTCCCAGCGGTAAACCTAGTTCACCATATCTAGCAATCGTTGTCCTACCCCCCCCCCCCCCCACCTTCTGTCTGCTTATAAGCGAATGCTCAGAAGTCGAAGTGGCTATTTCAAACGAGCTACATACCATTAAACGCGAACGCTATCTTTATTCTGTCTTCCTTATCTGCTAAACGCCTTTGTGGACGAACCTATAAACAATTGTAAGCTATCACACGCTGAAAATCCTTCGTGCAAATTGCGAATTTGGCCGTACAGAGCCACGTTCGGCTAAATAAACGCAAAACATGCGGCTAGATTATCTTATATAGCCGAGGCATGAGAGCTAAAAGGACAGCAGTGTGCTCAATGTGCAATTTTATGTACCATATTTTTGCGATAAAACTGTCCATAACTTCGTGTACAAAGGCGTTTAGCAGATATGGAAGACATATTCGGAGTCAGCGTTTCATGCTGCATTCAAAGATATGCAGCTTTTTTAGATTGATCACTTTGACTTCTGACCATTCCCTTAGGCAAAAACCGTTGCAAGGTGTTTGCGTGCTGCTGCTGTTCATGGGAGTTATGTGAAGGCATTACTGTCGTGCGGATCGGCTTGACCTATACGTCTTTCAGTTTCCATGTGCCAGGCTTTGCTGTGGCTTGACTGGATAAAGTTGCTAAGCGCTTGTAGGGTAGAAATATCGTCGTCTCAGAGGTTCACCTACGCACAATTATATATAAGATGCTGATGAGCTGAGCTCTCATTCACACTGACATAGGATGTCCAAAGAGGAACTAGCAATGAGTCAAGTCTTGAAGGCATTATAAGATCCGCTTGATACAAAAAATGGCGAGAGCATTTGATTTTTTATGACAAGATAAGCTGTCAGCAGCTCATGTTTTTCTCTTAGGTCGTCGGCGACTCACGATAGCTTCGCTCCGGAAGCTAACATTCCTGCAATGATGAAAGCATCGATAGAGAACGTCTTATAGCGCTTGAATTCGCTTCTGTGAAACTCTGAACTCCGGTAGAACAGGAATTTTTATGATGGGAAAATCCATAGAGAAACGACACATCTCTTCAATGTAGTTCAGTTTTTGGCTCGAACTTGAAACAATAATGATTGAATTTTTGAGGCAAAAAGGGAAAACCAAAGATTTTTGAAAAAATTTTTGTAACAAAATACAAGTGCATGCTTAAGTTTCGCTATAATTCCAGTATGAATGATCACTCTTAGACAGGTTTAGCGAAACTGCGATAAAGCAAACCGATCGTTGCGAAAAAGCAGTCGGGTCCAATTTATGTTGATTCATGTCAATTTTCGAAGGCGTATTTTTTTTTAACCAAATGCTTTTAACTCTGTTTCTTTCACTTCTTTTTCAAGAATTACACCCATAACACTGATGGAACATAAGCGTGGGGGGCGGTAGGAGGTTAGGAATGCTCTTCCAGGAATGGGTCACAAAAATCTTGAAAATGGTCTACATGAATGATAAAAATGTGCAAATAACTTATCCCTCACTGCACACAAACAAACCAATCTGAAAATACTTCAGAAATAAAAAAATTAAATCTCGTATAAAGTTTCTGGAAATTTCTGGAAATAGGGTTAGCCCCAGGATTTTTCGTAGAATTTCAAGAACTTTGAAGAAACTAACAACATGCCAATTTATTTGAAAAAATTCTTTTATCCCTCTCCCTCTAAAAAATTTCACTTTCCGCCTGTAATACATTACAAGATCCTTAATATGGTGGCAACCACTATTTGATTAAAGTGATCGCTTGATTATGGTGTAGTAATCTACGAAACATAAATAGAAATTTTTCTTCGCGTCAAAATTGAAACATTTCGCTTTTGTCAACCAGCTTGAAACATAGACATTTTCTCAAAAAATCATACACGCTTAGAAACGATGAGATATGAAAGCAAACGAGAACGGGTTCTTTTCGACAAGCACCAATCTTCACGATGGGGCTTTCAATCGTGACTTTTGTGAGGCTTGAAAGCGTAATTCAAAAGTGCAATTTAGCGAAGGAAACGTGGATTTTCACAGCTTTTTCTTCGGTGATTCTGTTGACGGATTTGGGGATGTGGATATTTATCCGAGGCTGGATTAGTAGCAGATTCATAGCCTCATTTCTGTAATAATCTGAAATAAACACCTAAGTAGTTCTAGCCTATAGGTCAAGAAAAGACTCATCAAGCGCATTTGCTTACTATGAAATAACCAGTCCGATAGGACAAGGGAAGAAGATTCTTTGAAGCTCAAAGGATGAGTGTGGAGTCGATAACATTTCACAGTTAAACTACGCCTTGGAATTGAGTTCGTGATAAAACGTTGGTTTCAACGAAGTTCAAATCTTACAAAGCCTTACCAAAATGTAGAAATTTTTCAAAACTCACAAAGCCTTACTAAAGCGTAAAAACTTGAATCTCATACGTTTCACGAAAATAATGTCTGTTTTATGAAATGCAAATGTGAGATTGCTAGCATTGAGAGTTTTCCGAAAAGCGGAAAGAGTTCTTTCTGACTCTAGCAAAGTGTTACGAAGTCTCTCTTGACCCAAAATCGACCAAGAATTATCTAACCTAACTTTTGTTTTTTCAGACCATAAAATCGATGATCCCTTTGTTCTGTCCTAAAAACGACATCCAGCTTGCCTATAAGCCACCTGTGCCAAGTCCTGAACTCAAGGTATTTCCATCTTATCTTATTTCATAAAGCACTTTGCAAAAACACAGCTCCTCTCTCATCTCTTTCGCCAATCACATTATTGCCAATATGCCTCTAAACCTGAATTTTGATTTTATCGCGCCGCCTGGGCTTTGGTCAGATACTAAGAGATAATGGATCTGTTTGAAAATGGGTGGAGTGCATATGAAGATTTGGAAAATATTCCAAACTATATAAGGAGTGTTTCTCGAAATTCAAGCAGCGTAGTCTCACATCGTCATGAAATTCCTCATCGTCCTCGCTTTGGTCGCCGCCTGCAGCGCTTCGTTCTTTGGCGGAGGTAGCAGTGGTTGCGGATGCCCGTAAGTATCTAAATGTTAGCAAATGATGTTTTGGATCAAGATTTTTGGAAAAAATAATTCTCAACAATTTAATTACTTTTCTAATCCATCCAATTATTCAGACCACCTCCCCCACCATGCGGATGCGCCCCACCTCCACCACCACCAGCACCATGCGGTGGCGGATGCGGAGGAGGTGCACCACCTCCACCAGCTTATGCACCACCTCCTCTTCCAGCACAGAACTCTTACGCCCTTGGAGGAAAGTAAACGCCAGTGTATCATAAAAATCCAGCTCAGGAAATAACTATTATGTTTGTATATTTGTGACTATGTATAAAATATTCCACTGACTTTTTTATAACAAATGCAAGACCGGTGCAATGAAAAACAAAATAGGAGAGAACTTTTGTTCCGAGAAAAAGGGTGCTTGGGAAATCTGGTTATTCTTCCACGAAAGCGTGAAAAGAGACGAAAATGCATTTCTAAGAAATCTAAACCCTTAATCCAGAATATTTAGATTACGTTCGGAATTTACTGGTCTCGACAGATAGCAGTGAGATAGATGAGTCCTAGAATTGATTTTATTCGCGGATGGCAAAATCCACAAAGCCTATTTATTTGAACATTTTGAAAGAAATAAATTTGGCGGTACGAGGAGGTTTTTTGGGTAAGTTTGTGGGGGGGGGGTTCAAAACAACATCGTTGAGCGCTTGCCAAGTTTTTCGAATTTCTTATCCAGTCACCGTAGTTTTTGAACACCTGTTGATTAGAAACCATTACGAATTTCAAGAAGTATAAGATAGTCTAAGTTGTAAAAAATTTCAACAGGCAAGCGAATAGCCGTTATCAAGCTGAAATATTTCTTTCGCAACATGAATCATGTACATTGAGCCGGAATTGCGAGAGAATGGCCCGTAGTAAAGCTCGGTCATGGGAGATTATCTCCCCTGAGACCTTCATGTGAGGTTCTGTCAGTAAAATGACTGACCGCCCATTTCCCCGTGCTATAGGGATGCAACTTCACCTGAGAGGTAAGCCTCAGGTGAAGTTCGGCAGGGAGATGATCTCCCTGCCGGGTCATGGGAGATGATATGAGCGATGATGTCCAGAAATAGTGTGCTAAAGAGGAAACGCAGAGAAAATCTTCGTAAGTTGCTCCTGAGTAACTTACGATACACAGCAATTTGCCTAACACTGCGGACAAAATCGGCGCAAAGTTGCACAACCGCGCCCGAAAAGGAGAGGATCGATGAACAGCTGATTTTGGCGAGTAAGACAGAAAAAACAAATTCTTCTCTTTTTTGTAAACTTAGCTGATTTTTTTAAAGCTGTCCAAAACGAGGACTCAGCTGTTCATTTTATTAGATTCACGTTGCAACCATTTCGTTTTGTCGCAAAATTTCTGTAACGAAATGTTTTTTTGTTTTATCTTTACGTTTGCTAGGCGAAATCCTTGATAGCGGTCATCATCGATTGGATAGTGGCCGCTATCAAAGATTGTCCGGCGATGCAGCAAAAGTTGTGTCGCTAGGTGGAATTGAACCACGGCCTCGCGCGTGTAATTCCAATGGCTTACCCATTTAACCATACCAGCTCAAGTGGTTCTTTTTTCAAGAACGCACTTGATTATAATGTCCAGGAAGCGATCTGCATCCAGATCAATAGCCCGCCGGATGCTGGACTGAGGCGCCAAGATATCAACTCCGGTCCGCCTCAGAGGAGATGCCCTGACGGTAGTTTACTACGGGCCAATGTTGCTTTAAATGATGTACAATACCAAGGTCACAAAAGAAAAAGTCGAGGATAAATGGGATCTGACGCCGCTGAGATGTCGATTGCTGTCTACACCCTCTGTTGAAGAGCCTCGTCAGCGATTGAGGGGGTCAAAACTTTAGAATTTTAGAAATTAGAAGCTCTAGCAATAATTCATGCACGATTACGGATCATTGCGCATGGTCTAAGCTGCCGAAGACTTCATTTTGTCTCAAAAACCCAAAAATTCTCGAATTTCATCAATTTGCGAAAAATGCTTATAATTTTTTTGAATCATGTCTAAAATTCAAACAGTTTGTGCGATGGTGTAGCATATGAAAGAAATTGCAAAAATTAGTTTCTCGCCTAATACTAAAAGTTATCGTAGACTTTTTGACATTCTAAATTTTGATATGATAAGCTGATCATCTCCCAATGAGCGAAACACGATTTTGTGGATCCACAGTAGCACGACGAGAAAAGCTCTACTGTTTCGATTTATTAATATAAAAAATACGAGCTGCTACTACTTATGTCATAGCAAGGCCAATTTCATACAAATTATCTTTCTTGGGTAAATCAACGTCCAAATATATCTCATTGAGTTCTTACTCATCATGTGACCACCCATAAACGTGAGAAAGCTAATGATGATTTTTTTCAATGGTTAAGCACTTGATTAATTGGTTAATTCGGGCATACTCACTTTCTCTTAATTTGATGCGCTAATCAGTCTTCAACCTTGAACTTGATCTGCGCCAAATGGTTAAAAAGCAGCGCTAATCGCCATTGCGCAAAACGTGTTGAAAATTGAATTTTTACGTCTCTTCAGAACTGCTGAGCTAATTCTTTTTTTGGCGGTCTAAGAATAACACAGTTTCACTCAGGCGTCTTTTCCGTGGTGATTGACAAGAAGTGATACTTAATGACAGACGAAATTTAAGGCAATAACTTAACTGACAGAATGTTGCCACGATAAAAAAGAGCTTGGAGCGTTTCTTACACATTTATGATGGTATAGCGAAAATTTTCTGAATAACCAGCCTTTCAAAAAAAGTTAGTCTTGTGATAAAGTGCTTGATGTGCAGATTGAGTTGGTAATAATCTCAGTGTATGCATTTTATGAGTTCTCGTCTCCGTTCGACAATAGCAGTGTTGATATTAATACATTGTAACGACTACAGATCACTTTTTGACTGACTTAACTTATCATATGTATTTATTGGCAAAGAAAACCATAGAAAACCACACAAATAAAGATGAAGCCCGAAAGTGAAGACAATCGTTTTTTTAAGGAGTGAGACGGCCATTTATAAAAGTTTTCTGCGGTTTTCTAATACAACGTATTGATTTTTTTATACAACATGTAAATTGCTTTGTTTCCTAATACAATACATTAATTGCTCATTGAAGTGACCAATTAGCATGTTATGTAATAAACAAGAGTGCAACGAAGAAAAAAAAAGAAAAAATGCAGCAACAATCGCAATTATTTTTGCCCTTGCTGGATGGATCAGGTCGTTCTCCTTCTCTGAGAGATGAGCGCTGTTCTGCCGAGATGCTCTTGCTTTACCCGAGAGCGATTATAACTGCAGCAATTAAAGGGCTTGATTGACCAACTTGGGGCAGAGAATCGTCAAGTACCATGGACGAACGAGAAGGAGAACCTCAAGAAGCAGTCACTGGCATTCTCTTCGAGTGGCTATGAGCTAAGGAAAAAACTTCGCAAACTTTTCGGAAGGAGGTTGAAATCTAAAAAATGTTCAACAATTCTCTCAAAATCCTCATCACTGCTCCTTAATAATATATTTGACATGCATGGCTCAACCTTCAAGCTAAGCATATAAAGGTGACAGAATCAATCACGAATCGCGCACAAAAGGCTCGTGGTGTGAAAGGTGATTTATCACAATCACTGGACAAATCTATCCGCATTTGTTTTATACAAGGACTTTCAGTAATGAATGGAACAAGTGGCCAGCCACCAAAATAACCTTATCCGAATTAAGTTGAGGAAAACAACTAAATTTCAGGATTTTGTGGCCCGAATAAAACAGCGAAATTTAGTTAGTACGAAAAAGAGTACCATGGCTTCAGGCTTTATTGTTTCTCAGTCCCAGTGATGTGCTTGCGCAGGTGCTTTTTCCTTGTTCCTTTTTGAAAGTAGAAAAGAAAAACCGAAGCACCTCCGCAAGCAGCTCCTTCCCCTTCCACAACATGACACACAACGGCTGACAGGGGGCCACAAAAACTTGACTGTGACTCCTCAATAAAGTCTCAAAGATGAAACACGGAATCTATCGACGATTTGAACATATCAGAGATGCGAAAAAGTAAAGAAAATGCCAGCTTTTTTCAAGTTTCAGAAAAAATAAATGCAATTCTAAAGATACATTTACTAGATCCAGTCCTGAACAATATGCTGTTAATGATGTAACTTTTTTTTCAAAAGACTAGCCACAGTAATTTGCATTGCTGATTGCTTAGCTTATCCATAAACCTTTTCTCGCAACGTTTTTTATTCACATTCATCATACATGAAGCCCAAAAAATATCAAGCACACCTTTTTGCTCAAACTCTCACTTCTCCATAGATGTTTGAACTACACCCCACAATTCTATGCTAGCTTCAAAACCCGAAAATAATTGATTCCATCGCATCGCCGAATTATAAATCCGGTCTCAGTATGCGATAAAATTCGAAAATGGGTGGCACCTTATAACATAGCCTTCGAAAATTATGCGTATAAAAAGATGGTTCATGGAGATAGAAGCAGCAATCGTCTCATTATCATGAAATTCCTCATTGTTCTCGTCTTGGTCGCCAGCTGCAGTGCTTCATTCTTTGGCGGAGGTAGCAGCGGCTGCGGATGCCCGTGAGTTTTTGAAAATTGGCAAAAGATGTCTTAAATCATAAATTCGATAAAAGCTACTTATTTTGATTTTATAATTTTTTAGACCTCCTCCTCCACCATGTGGATGCGCCCCACCTCCACCACCACCAGCACCATGCGGTGGCGGATGCGGCGGTGGTGCACCACCTCCAGTCTACGCTGCCCCACCACCACAGAACTCTTACGCTCTCGGTGGAAAGTAAACGGTCGACGTCTCATATTATTTCTCAGGGAATCGAAGTCTTCAGAATTATCTGTATAGCCCGACTATAAATATGAACCAGTCTTTGTTCTATTACTTGAAGCACTCAGACAAAAATGAGATGTATAGCATCCGGATACTTCAATTTTCAAGAAAGTGACTACATTATCCAGGCATGCAATCACCAAACCCAAATTCACTAGTGAATTCTATGCAGTAAAGCGCTGGGCTGTTTTGAGCAAACTAACATTTTTTAAGCATAAGTTTGGTATCAAAGTTAGTTCAGCTACCAGCAAGCTATCTCACTTCTTTGAAACAACGTTCGTTATTGAAATCGGGGAATCTATTGTCAGCATCAAAGGGCCTTCGTTTGGAATTGTATTTATATTTATATAATTACATTACACAGTTGTAATGTGCCTTACTAAAAGGCACAAATGGCATTTTTAATCTCAGCAGGATGATGTACTCGATGTACATTTTCTTGTGATTGCGGCCTATTTAATGGTGCATTTATCGACCCATCCGTCCATCATCCTTCTCTCCATCATACATAAATACATTATATAATTACATACATACATACATGCATATTACTGATGTTTCGTCCTCAACAGGAAAATTTTACTTTTGGGGCTCTTTTTCTCGCTGTAGGAAGGACAAATGTCGCAGTACTTCGAGTTGATACGTAGTTATAACACATGTTACTTACCCTTGTGCGGCAGAAAAAGTATAAAAATTCGCTAAATATGTAGTCTGGTAGAGCAAAACAAGCCCTACAAGATGATATTCAAACAATGTTAGAAACTTCAATGCATGGAAAGTTAAAAAGAAATATTGACTTCGAATGCCCAAAATTTGGACCTTTATCAGCAGAATCCTACAGACCTCCAACTTGCTCACTAAAATTACTTGTCTCATCTATGCGTATGTACACTTGTTGTATTTTTTCTACTCCTAGAAGTTGAGAAGATGAATTTGGCATGTTCTAGCAAAATTGATGCTGGATTGTCCCGACATAGATAATTCCATATACAGGCCCCTGGAAGTGTAACAACTGGTCTGTTCTTTAAGCATTAGTTGTCGAGAGATATCTTCAACATAAAAAAACCGAAAAAGGCGATACGTTTCAATTTGTGGCCTATTTTAATTCTTCATACCAGTTATGAAAAGATACTGCATGTACATATGAGTATCTTTTACGTAATTTTTCCAAAGTAACTTTTGGGTAATCAAATCTTTTAGGGTTTTCTCGCAAACTTCAGTAGATCGAACTTTTTGCAAATGTTCGAATACTTCATGTGCACTTTCCTTTGCTCTATCGAAGTATGTTCTACATTTTGTATCTGTTCTGCTGCTTCAAGACAGAAAGCATGCATTAATTTTTCGTCAACCTAACAGAAATACGATGGCCTTAGCTTTTTCACTGGGTGATAACTGATACGCAGAATGCCTCAATTCTCCTAAGTTATAAGAAAATAGCTTCATGATTGACGAGACCTCTCGATTCAACTCGAGGCATCCTCAGGTGTCCTATCGTCGCACTATTGGCAATGCTCCAGTCGTTGCCAGGTCCGTAACATACACTTTTTTCGCGTGCGACGCACATTGCTTTGTTTTTTTTTTAACGCAAAGCAGCGAGAGGTGAGAACGAGCGCGCTTCGTCTCATAAAGCCAGCAATCTGCTGAGAATCTCTTTGCAAATAGTCTAAGAGTTACGCAAGAAACCTTTAGTGGAATACAACAGGGATCTGTTTGCATTAAAAAAAATCCACATGTTTACAAGCTCCGCTCGGCTTTGCTAGTGATATCTTTGTGGTTAGCAATCTCACTTACCCCCCCCCCTGTACCAACTTTTAGCCTCGTAAGTGAAACTCTGCAAAAATCGACAAAATTAATTTTTATTAGTGATAAAATTGCCTGCGACATCCGCTCTGCCCCCAAGTGTATGTGTGCTAAATTTGGTCCGATTCGATTCAAAAATAAAAATTTCTATTCCGAACATACATACACACAGAGAGACACTAGCTTTATCCATACATCAGCGGCGGTCCGAGGGAAGGAGGGGCGCCCTCTCCCCCCCCCCCCCTCCCCCCCAAAATGGGTCGCGAAATTTTTGAAAGTCACTTATATGGGTCATAAAAATGTACAAGTGAGTTGTTTATACCTGTAAATAATTGAAATAATTTTTGAAGTTTAGAAAATTCAACAGTGGGGCTCCCACAAATGTTCGTCCCATGCAACCATGGTTAATAGTGGCGCGGAAGTAACTCTATTTGAAAGTGGTGATGGTGTATGAGGACAACCTTTAGGGACTACTAGTTTTCTCTGATAAAGTATGACAGTCCTGCTTATTCCGGTATTCTTAGACTCTTAAAACTGGGGAGTTGAACAAAAGAAGTGCTAGAATAGCAGAACTAGCAACACTTCTTCAGTCGGTCAGCATGTGTGTTCATCAGTGTTTGATTTATGAATCGCTTTGAGAATTCCGCGTAACATTGTCTCAACGAATACATACACGCTGTGGAACATTTCTTCTATTGTCATAAGCAATTAGGGAACGGGATTCGAACAGGTCCGAGTGCGAACAAGAGGCGCCGCTCATTGTTCTTGTTACATATGCAATCTGCACGGCTTCAATCTTGTAGTTAGCAATTAAAACACAAGGGATGTGCATGGGAAATGTTGATTGGTTCGAACTTATGAATGGAATGGATATCCTGTCAGATTGAACTAGTCTGCCCAGCTTCAAAGTGGATCGTATCTATAATAGGGAAAGTCGTGTTTGAAGCGGAAGAAATAATGAATCTGGACAATGCACGGCACAGTGTCGCATTCTCGATTGTAGTGCTGACAAAAAAGTAAGCATATTTCGAGATATGAGGGACGAAGTCTCGGAGTTTTCACCACCACAGATCAGAGCATTCAGGAACTGTTCAATGGATTTGAAAGGAAGGCTAGTACTAGACCCGCCTCAGTACAGCTAATAAGTCAAGCTTTAACTGTGCGATCTCCATGCTCTAAAAGGGAAGTTCACTGTCTAAAAATCGGTCATACCGCGCGGACCTCTCAAGTACACTGTAGCCCAAACCCCACTTGCCAAATCAGGCGCTAAGTCCTGAAAAATGTGCTTTAAAACTCCACCAGCCCCGCCCACTCAATGGAAAGGGGCGGGACTGGTGGAGTTTTAAAGGACATTTTTCAGGACTTAGCGCCTGATTTGGCAAGTGGGGTTTGGGCTACAGTGTACTTGTCCACTATCTAAATCCACCAAAATCCGGGAAGGGTCTGATTGATCTTTCTGGTCCATTCTGCTGATCCATGCCTATAAGTTGCTCGGTGACATACGAGACACATAATTGACGTAATGCTACGGACACAGGTGCGGAAAACTGCACAATCTCGAGAGTTTACGGATAGAAAGGATTACTGAACAGCTGAATGTAGTGTCATGGAGACGAAAAATTCTCCATGGCTACAATTTTTTCTCTGCGAAGGTTGCTTCTTTAACACATTGTCGACAACGTGACCCATGGTAGGTCATGCAATGACTGCCATGTGAGACAATGTGACCCACATGGTGATCCCGATGCCTGCCAGTGTAATATAGTTTTTTTTCAATTTCAAGCTTTGAAGAAGCGTTTCTCATATTTATGCAAGCTGTTATATTGCGAAGCATCCAAATCGCTTTTCTGAGTATCGCAAACAACCTGACATATTTAAATTGCTCATATGATTATCGGTTCTGCCTTTCACCTTTGTAATTTTTGAAAGCTGAATTTTTAGAAGTCTGGTAGGAATTGAACTATCTCAAGTTCTTGTACAACCTTATCAATAAAGAATTTTTTTAAACAAAGTCCATCTGATAATTTTTCTTATACTGATGCGATGAAGCCAAAATTTCGCTCGGGAATTTCCTGGTAGAGTTTCCTAAATCTCCAAAAATAACCGACTAGTTCCAATAAATTGATTTAATTTTTCACTAAAATGTTTCAATATTGCCAAATACCTCGCTTATTCCTTGATTATAGGAATGACCATATTTCAATCTGTTCGTAAATCATTGCTCGCTCGGCTAATGATGCGAGTTCCAAGCCGGTTAATGCGTCAGAATGATTCAGTGTGCAATTTGTGGTTTGGTTACAGAATCATCAATCTAAATCAAGTCTACGAATGAAATAAGATCGGAGGATATTACGATGAATATGCCATGTTCGCAATCCAGTTCTTTCTGAATAATGCTTTGGAATGACAAACCGAAGCAGAAGCGAGCTCGAACTGGTCACAATGTTTGATTGCGTGCTAGAAACAATGAAAAATCAGTAATAAAAAGATTTGTTGAACAGTACGACAACTATGGGCATGGATTAATAAATAGAACAGTAATATCGATGGAAGAATTGTATGTAAATAGACTTGCTACGATAATATACCGTACTTTCCGACCGCAGCAATTTTGGTGCACAGAATCTTCTGATCTGCAGCGGAATCCCATCTTTAATTGTTAATAACTTCATTTTCCTTGAAAAGCAAGTTCAATGTATTGGCTATTATTTATTGAACAAGATGAAGAGCTTTGGATTTGATAGTAAAAACGACTACTAGCGATTATGATTAACAATAGTAATAACAAAAAAGACTACCTTACTCACAGATAAGTCCTCCCATCAAATAAGTCTGTTTGCTTTCCATAATAACTAGCCTGAAATTTTCTTAGATAAATCCGAAGACTGTCAGATAAGTCCGGATTTATCTTAGACGCACTTATCTGCTGGGAAGACTTATCTACAAGATTCTTGGCGGGACGATGGTGCATTATCGTCGACATTTCAAAAAATGGACTTATCTGTAAGAATTTAGGGTATTAGTGATAGTCACCATATATGTAAAGCTGAATGTCTGCCTGTATCTATGTGTGCATAAGTTCCAAAAAAATCTCTGCAACAATCCGGACCAAACTTTACGTTGCGTTTTACATCTTTATAGCAGGACAAACAAAATTTGCAGCGGTTCTGCAATTCTGTTGACTATTACAGTGGAAACGTTTAAAATGGGTATTTCCGCAGTATATTCCGGTTGAAAACGGAAACTTCCGCAGAACTTATTACAGAATTGCTAAAAGTCCGGAAAATGCCAGTGGTTCCGCAGCACTTTGGCCTGCCAGTACTCTCACAGTTTAGTGCATTGTCAAACACTATTCGTAGCGCAGAGGATAGTAAGTGAATCTCTCAGTACATAGAGCAAGGCTTGAATCTCGCTTAGGTGTTCTCTCTTGCTGTTGTGACATCACCTCATTTGAGAATCTCTGTAGGTGGCCCGGCAGAGCTTCCCAAACGTTCTGCGGGATTTCCGGCGAACTACCTGAGAGTGCTGAATTTGAATTTGGCAAATTTCCACATCGCGTGGCAACTGAAATTGCATGAGATATGGCCAAGGCTTAGTACTAGACCAGAGAAGTTTAACTTCTGAAATAATCATCGTTCCTTGATTATTTCATTTTGGTTCTTTCAGAGATTGACTTAACAAAGCAGATCTTAGTTGGAAGGCCCTCTCACTGTTCTAGTTGTGAGACTTTTTTATTTTTCACTTTCCATATCCAAAGATTTAGAAACTTTTTTGACTTCCACAGTAGCAAGCCGATGATAGGCATGCAGTCGCGATTTGGAATCGAATTTCTTGCAGCTACCACTTTTTCTGACACCTGCAATATATTTTTGAGCCTAGCAACCAATATTTCATTGTTAAAGGCTTGAATTGCCTGGATGAGCTGGTTTTGTCCATGGGATACGCAGCCACAGAACCTGTTCCTCGTAAAGCGACGCGCCGTGTGAAATCTCCTGGTTGGCCGCCGCCTTGGAATGATAGCTCGTCTGTGACATCACGACGTGCACGAAAAAGTGCAGAAAGGAACGAAACGGAGAGCGGAACAACATTCTCAACATTTCGCATAGCTAGGGATTAGCAGCTAATTCAGAGAATTTTGAGCATACATCCTTGAGGTAAAACAAACATAGCAGCGTCTATGAGTACACAATACACACAATTCTACGCGATAAGCTCAGCAAAAGTTTGCGTTTTTTTAATTTGCATTTTAATTTTAATTTGCCCTTTAATTTATTAAGTTGATCCTAAAGTTCTGCCGCACCATTTTCGGGAATCATAGTTCTCAGCTGCATTAATCTCAATTAATTTCAAGAAATAAATTATCTGCTTATCAATAACGCCTTGATGTCTCCTTAAACAACTCTTGTAAAGATAAAAACGGAAGAAACGTTCGTGTTTCGATGATTTCGGGCAGGCCCCGTCAACCATGTAAATGCGCAAAAAACCAAGACAGTTGGTAAGGAAAGTATAGTGACATTCTCTTCATAACTGTGCAAACTTTGTACTAATCTGCGTTGAATGATTTCTGCGGAATTTCAGAAAATTGAGTTTCCCGGTTTGTGCTAGTTTCTCGAAAACCACAACTTTTTATGGAGGAGCTTGATCAGCATAAACCTTAGCGGTAAAGAGCAAGTCAGAACAGTGGTGCTGCTTAGGATCACCGCTTGAGTGATCTCATTTGCCCATTCCAAACCATCAGAAATTCCATGATTTGTCATTTTAATAGAATAAATACCATTGTGAAAAGGTTAAAATTCTTGAATTGGTGCGAAAGGTTGGTTTGACCCAACCTAATTATTTATCGGCTTCACAAAACGAAATCTTCTAAAGCTTTTTTATGCATGGGGATCTAGTTCTGCGCATCGTTTCAAAAGAATCGCCACCAGTATGTGTTCCATAAAACTAAACAAAGTGGATTTGAAGATTATCTTTCCTCTAAGCAATTCGAAAAAAACAACGTTGTCTTAGAAATTTGAGCATGTGCCACTTTCATGTTTTTGCCAGATGTAGGGATTGTTTGATCGATCGAGAAAAGCCTTCGAGACGTTCCAAAATTCAAGTCTATTGCAATCTTGTAACCATTTCAAGAGTTTTTGGGAGCGGAGGCACACATGTTACTCAAATTTTTTCGAAGTCACAAAAGGACCAAGTGTTGTCTCTCATTCGGATCAGCCAATTTCAGTACGACCGAGTTCATTTGCACTTCGGCTGTCACATGTGGTGTAAGGAGTACAAGCACGGAGATAGTGTTTTTCTCGCTTTAATTCTGCATAATCTGACAAAGGATGAAAGGAAGAATTCTATCGTTCATACTATATGGTCTGTTAGCGTTATATTGAATATAAAAACATGGGCTTGCAGAATGACACTGCTCTCGTAGATCACTAAAGCGGTGTTACAAAAATTCCGGAATTATGCTTTTTGAGATTCTGGTGTGCGATTTACGCCACATTGTCGCTCTTTCAGGAGTTAGTTTTTTGAAAAATGCTGTTAGAATGATTTGAAAAGCATTTGTTCGAGAACTGTGGAAATGCCACAGGTTGAAACTTGAAACTCATATGTATTTGAGGTATCCTTATGCATTCTCACTGTAGTGCAAGTCATCTTGACTGCTGTGTGTGATGAAAATAACAGCAAAGATACTTTTTGCACATGAGTAAATTTTTGACAAAGGTTGCTCAAATCTTTTGATGTATTAATTTTTCAAGGGATGCGCTAAAGAACACATTTTGTAATGTTGTGGATATGTCGAACATTTATGAGTTGAAATGTCCCTGCTGTATTATTTTTAGAGGAAAAATTCCGATTATAGGGTATCGAAGCTACTATCTGATAGAATATCCGCTGATTTTGAATCTGCTTTCTTTATCTGCAAGCGCTTCTAGAAGAGAAGTTTTGGGAATTTCTTAGGTGAAAATAATGATCTGGCTAAGGTAAATAGGTTTTGAGGTCTTTCCGGCGTTTGAAAAAAGTAATGACTGACATGAGTTTATTAGATTGAAGAAATTTATTGCGTAAAACGCCACGATAGTAAACATGGTCCCATTTGAGCCCGCGCACTAGAGTTCTGAATGATTCTATTGTAGCGGCGCTTTCAAATTTTTGCATCAAAAATTCCATAACTCCCCTCCCAAAACCGCTCTGCAGATACCGAAAGTAGATCAGAAATTAACATTCTATGCTTCATAAAATATTATATTTTTGTATGGGGAGTCACTTGGACCAAGTATCCTTTCCTTGTAAGGGAATTTAGAGCTTAGTGAAAGGCAGGCAGCAAAAAATTAGTGAGATGTACATTACTGGAGTGTAATGGTGTTATTTCCATGAAATAAGACTACGATACATAATCAAATCACAAGCATCACCTTCTTGAGAAGATGATATTAATAGGTTGATTAATGAATAAATTTGCTCTAGCGGCTGTGCAGTGTTCGGGTCTTTAGAAAGAGTATCTCAATGAAAATTGAATTCTATTTGTCTGAATCGATAGGTTTTCCAAACAAAGAAAAGGAGCAAAGAAGTGATGCAAACGCGAGAAAATTACGTATTTCCAATTACAGGAAATCAGTTTGGCAAATCGATCTTTATCTTCTTTCGCACATAGGGAAAACTAGGGTGTCTTCAGTCACTGAAATACTCATTTGTACATTTACGAGGAGTAAAAAAGTCAAGAAACTGAGTTGGTTTCTAGCCAGTCACTGAACCACTCATGCACATTCACAAGAACGAAAGAAGATCAAAGAACTGAGTTGATTTCCAGCAATCTGTACAGAACTGTCCTTCACTGGTGAAAAAATCTCGATTACTGATATGTGATAATATCATAAAAGCTCAGTATGTACCTCTCTGAAAAGATTGGCTAAATGACAAACTCAAATTTTTATAGAGATTTTCATGTCAGAACGAAATTACTTCTAGCCAATCTATTATCACAACAATTTATTGGAGCTAAACAAAAAGTCTCTACAACAGCCCATCGTCGCTTTTATTTGAAAATGCAATAATCGCCGTAAACAAATAGGACCTGGCCCTCTCTAAATTGCCATTTTCCCATGGAACAGGAAGTTTTGACGATGTTCTATCTACTTGATCTGCCTCATTTCACTAAGCGCCGATATACAACCCGGTTTTATGACGTTTCCGTGAATTTTGCATCTGTTCTGGGGTCGCGCATCTCAAGGCACTCTTAAATTTTTCGACCATTTCGGCGATCTCTACTAATCAGGTTTTGAATTCAGATGGATTTGGGGAGGGTGAAACAGCACGTGAGAATTTCGTATAAAAGCAGATCAAATTTGTCAAGCGATAGATTAGTTTCTCGTCTAATAACATGCAATACCTCGCTATTTTCGCTTTGATTGGCTGTTCAAGCGCTTTCCTCCTTGGCGGTGGCGGCGGTGGATGTGGATGCCCGTAAGTTGCTTACTTTCCTATTTTTTCTTGAAATTTATTTTTTCAATGCTCATCAGCTCACTTTCAGTCCTCCTCCACCTCCATGCGGATGCGGCGGCGGTCTCCCGCAACTACCTCCCCTTCAGCTTCCTCAACTCCAGCTGCCTTCCCTAGGCGGTGGCGGATGCTGTTCTCCTCCTCCAGCTCCATGCGGAGGTGGCTGCGGAGGCGGTGCTGCTCTTCCACCTCCACCAGCATACGCTGCTCCTCCTCCACCACCAGCCAACTCTTACGCTCTTGGAGGAAAGTAATTGGTGCCAAGGAACTGGAAATAACTATATCTGTATATGAGATATCGCCTATCATAAATATGAATATAAATGTGTGTAGCGTGCTAGCCGATGGCTGGTTGAAGCAGCTTCTGAATATACGAGTTGCGCAGTATTGAAAGTCACCAGTCTTGTAAAGCAAGCACTATCCAGCATTACTTAGCACAGTCCTAAAATAAAATAAGATAGGGACAATAGAACTAGAACCATTATTCAGTGCATAACATCGCTTTAGGACTGGTTGTTTCTCCAGCGCGCAAGCAAGAAAATATTTTAATTGAAGGTGAAAACAAACTATTTAACAATCAAACTGGATGACTGAAGAAATTTATAGTTGTTTATCTGTGGAATGTTTAGCGGAGTGCTTACAAGGAAACGATACTTTGTGCCCGTGGCCTTTTCAAATGAAATGTATACCATTACACTTGACTTCAAACGCCGATTCCGAATCTGACTTCCGTTTTTGCTAATCGTTTCTCTGAAAGAAGTTTTAAGTAGTGGCTAGTGCGATAGCCTCACAAGTTGATGCAGGTGTAGGTTCAAATCTTTTTGAATTTTTAGTTTCGCATTGCCTCAGTTAAGTTTCTTTTTAGAAGCTGGGTCTCCTCAAGGTAAATGCATGTCCTTACTCTTTAGAAATTTAACCAGAAGTCATTTCTATGTGAATGATTCTTACATTCATTCCAAAAGATGCCTATAAAAATGAAAATGAACGGAAAATGAATGCATGTTAACATGTCACCTTGGTATTACTATCGTATTTGCCTAGCGCGACCAAACTTATCATCAAAATCTTTCATAACTTCTTTCAGAGGAACTAGAAAAAGCAGAAATGGAAGTCAGATTCGGAATCAGCATTCGAAGACAAGTGTAATGGTATACATTTCGTCTCAAAAGGCCACGAACACTAAGTATCGTTCCCTTGTTAGCAGCTGCCGGAATTGATCGTAAACTATCCTCTATATTTCCTAGTCGTTACCGTGCTATCAGCATTTCTTTGGGCTTATTGTTAGGAAGGAATCATACAGGTAGTTGACATTCGGCTACAGAGAAGTACGGTAAGAGAGCTCCATTGTCATTGAGCGTCAATTCATCTCTTTGAAACTAATGTTTGATTGTAATCATGATCATTTGTCGTTCTACTTTCTACCTTTTATTTACCCTTACAAGCTCTTTATTCCTTCTCCTCTCACTTCATCCTAGTCCACTATAGACTAACATAATAAATCAAGCCACCACTAAGGATACTCAAACTGCACTCCATTTTAGGTTAGTTTATTTTGATTTTCTTCTTTTCTTTTCTTCTCTCACGCTTTCATCTTCCTTCACTACTAATGAGTTCTAGGAAGATCGTATTCCTACCTAATTTTCCGTATAGTGATAGGAACAAAACGGCAATTAGGTAATTTTTTCCTTCTTTTATTCTGTATTGCAGCTGTTTTCAAAAACGTTTTTCTGCAAAACTTACATATCCATGCGAGACAAACTATGTATCACACGAACTAGATGCAAACGACTTTTTTTCTGCAAAAACTCACATAAATGAGCTACTTGTCACAACTCCATACAGAACAATATATTGAAAACCATCAGACACGGTAATCCTTTCGCATTCTAGTGCACGCCCATTGGCGTTGTATCACAAAAAACAGAAAACCATTTAGAACACAAGAAGTTTTTTTCTCTCAAGCTTCACTATTGACAATCATACAGACCTTCCTTGCAACCTAAATTGCTAGCTTTTTTGAGCCTTTGTGTAGTAGACTTGCAAGTCCTTTTTGAGATTTTCAAATGTTTTATGCGCTGGACAGCTAAGCTTTTTACACACAAACTGTTGAGAAGATGTTTTTTTTCATGCTTACAGAAATGAGCATACTTTGGCGAGTGCTTGTTTGAAAAAATGTCTGGGATATAGTATGGTACCAAAGTCGATGTGTCTTAGGCTTCGTTTTTTTTCGATCTAAGTAGTTCCCAAAACTATGACCAACTGAGCAAATGCAAATGATTTTACCGCGTATGCAATGTTTTTTAACACATTAAGTTGCTATGAATTTGCGTTATCACGTTATTTGAATTTCTGCGAGGTTCCAAAGGATGAGTCTAAAAGTCCTTGATGATTTTCAGAAAGTGCATAAAAATTCCTCGAATGGAAAGCAAGTACGATTGGAAGAGAGTCCAAACTTCCCCAAAAAAAATGCTTGAAAACACGCATTAGTTGCACCAAGCTAATATTTCTGGGAGAGCAAATTGCGAGAAATGACTGTCGTGCGCTTATTCGATGTTGTTAGCCAAAAGCTGTGCTAAAAAAGTACAATCACCATCGAAAAATGCTTCAAAAACGCTTTGAGCCTACATCCATTCTGCGTGGCAAAAATTATATTTGATGCATCTAAGCGGTCAGAATTCCTTTGATCATCGGTGTGGCACCAAAAGCAGCACCGCACAAGAAAATGGAGTTACAATGTCTTACCGGATATTAGCAGCTTATATGGAAAACTAGAGTATGGAGTTGTTTGAAATCGAAGTAAGTTTACTTAACTGAGAATCATGCGATTTGTGCGAAAAAAGGGCAATTTATTCCGTTTTCACTTACATAGTACATAATACAACACTGACTTGTTTCTCAACTTGACACTCTTCAAGGCTGCAGTACAAACCTTCACTCACCCAAGCAATAGTAATTATGACAATTTCTAAGTAAAACATTTGGCTTAGGAACTGCAGGTGTTGTGCATGTTCTGATTCACTCATATTATACTGTTTGGACTGAACTGAATCAGAAAAAATTGCTGCCGCAATTATACGCTAGCAAGAGAGTAGATATTCTTAACCCAAAAATGTGGTCTATCAAATTCGCAATGCGGTGCCGTAAGTGCACATGTTTCTACACTTTCCAAGTTCAAATGAGTTTATGTTTCAAGACAAATGTACAGACATGAATAACAATAACACAAGAACTAGTCTTCTAATGTTTTCTTCCCTTCTCGGCGTAGCTGGAGCCTCCACCAGATGATCCTCCGTCACCGCCTGGTGCAGCTCCTCCGGCGCTGTATGAAGCTCCTCCACCGCCTGTTCCACCTCCGCCGCTGTATGAACCGCCTGAGGGTGCGCTGATTGGTGCTCCTCCGTCGCCGCCAATTGGTGCACCTCCGTCACCGCCGATTGGTGCAGCTCCTCCGCCTGCGCTGTATGAGCCTCCTCCTGATGGTCCGCCACCTCCGCTGTATGAACCTCCTCCAACTTGTCCGCCGCCGCCACTGTATGAGCCTCCTCCTCCTCCTCCGCCACCGCCGCCGCCACCTCCAGCGTATGATCCTCCTCCGATGGGTCCGCCTCCTCCGATGGGTCCGCCACCTCCTGCGTATGAGCCTCCTCCTCCTCCTCCTCCGCCGCCGCCACCTCCAGCGTATGATCCTCCTCCGATGGGTCCACCTCCTCCGATGGGTCCGCCACCTCCTGCGTATGAGCCTCCGCCTCCTCCTCCTCCGCCGCCGCCACCTCCAGCGTATGAACCTCCTCCGATGGATCCGCCACCTCCGCTATATCCTCCGCCGATGCCACCGTATGAGCCGCCGCCGCCACCACCAGCGTAACCACCTCCTGATGGTGGTGGAGGTGGTGGTGGTGGAGGTGGAGGTGGTAGTGGTGGTAGTGGAGGAAGCATCGGAGGAGCTGCGTAACCGCCGCCGCCTCCTCCTCCTCCTCCGCATCCGCCGCCACCTCCTCCACCGCCGCATCCGCCGCCACCGCCTCCGCCGCATCCTCCGCCGCCACCTCCGCAAGGTGAAGGAGGAGGTGGACAGCATGGAGCTGGTGGGGGAGCTGGAGGTGGACAGCATGGAGCTGGAGCTGGGGGAGGGCTGAAAATGAGATTTGTGCAAAAATCAATCATTTTCAAAATCCGCAACGTACCAGCATCCTCCTCCTCCTCCTCCGCCGCCGCCAAAGAATATAGCTTCACATGCAGCAAATGCCGCAAAGGCAACAAATGCGTACTTGAGCATCCTGGAAAAATATATCTCACAAAGAGCAATGCAGTAAAAAGCTGCTAAGCTTGCCTCAGGTTCAGAGAAGCTGGGATGATGCTGCGTTAAGCTTGTTCAAGCTTTTATAGCTTATCGCCTATTGAGTTTTTTCGTGAGAATCGGTTATCTCATCCGTAGAATATCGTTGACGGCAGGATATCAAAGCTCTCGCTCGGCATTCAGTCATATAATCCATTCTCTTTAGCGAAGCTTGTGAGCATGATAAATGATTCAAGGAAGGAGAAAGTTACGAAGACAGAGGTGTTTTTTGGGGTGCTAGGAACAATGATGAATTCATTTTTTGCAGTGAGTCTAAAGATGTAAATGTTTGTAACGCTCTTAGTACACCTCAATTTTTGTCTCATGAGGTATATAGGCGTCAATTTCGAAAAAGATATTGTGAAGTGGCGGTTTTTTATATTTTTTAGTTCCCTTCACGTTGCAGTTTTTTATGCGTAAGTGGTCGAATTCTTACTATCTGCGTCCAAAAATGGCTTTGGCATTGTTTGATATGGTCAATAAAAAGGCAAAGTCTTTTTATTTTCGTTGATTGTAACGGTTGCCAAAACTGCTTGCACGCGCAAACTGGATTGGATAAAGTGCGCTACGACTCGGTCGTATATTTCACGGCAGCTGCTTCTGCAGTTCAAGATAACGCGCGTTGCAATGAAAATCGGTTATTTCTCATTTGAAATAAATTGTGAAAAATGAAACAGCCACCACAAGTAAACATCATACTATCAGATGGTCTCATAATTGTTTTTATATTTTAACGAAACTAACATTTTTTAAGAGCCAAAACCTACGAGAGTGTAAATCTACGGCTTTGGAGTGAATTAGCTATATCTATATTGTATTATTTGTATTATTGTATTAACTACATGTTTGCGAGAATACAGAACCGCTACTCAAATAAAATAGCGCCTCATTTTTTCTCTTTTAAGATCAAAATGAATATTGTACATAAGCATATCCATGAATTTCTAATCTAAAGAGTATTTGGTTAAACAGGTGAGAGATTCACACGAATTTATCGGAAGGAAATAGGTACAATTTTTATTCATATTTTGGCTATTTGGAAGTTCTCAGATTCTGGCTTCAAACTAGGTGGACTGTTTGCAAATCATTTTAGAGCTTCCTTTGCTTTATTGAATGGTACTCCAATAAGATCTTTTTTACTTATGTATTATTGTATACAGGGTGTCCCAAAAAAATGTGAACACTGCTTGATCGTTAATAACTCCCTTATTTTCATGTCTTTCGCCAAGCTTGAAGAACCCTTTTGTAGAGCGAGGTTCAACTTAGACTTATTGTATGGAGGGAATCATCGATCGCTCTTCATTACTGTAGAATTACGGTAGGAATTCGACAAAGATTTTAGGCCATTGGAGGCCATATTCTGCCTCGGAAGAAAACCAAACAAGCCAAAAACTCTTATACTACGGTAATGGCAGCCGCTGATTTCGAACATGAAATTTTCACTTTACCGTGATGCTTCTTTCCAAGGTTATCCCAGGTAGACCGTAACAAGTGAATTTCCAGCATTTGTCAGAAATGTGATTACACCATCAAAAAAGCTAAAAACATTCGTAAAAAGTTGTTTAGCGGAATCAGCGTGCTCGAAAACCCTAGTGCACAATTTTTCAGATTTTTGAAAAAAATTTCGTCAAAAGGCATATTTCACATGCTGAAAGTTCATACCGTAATCCTACAGTAACGAAGAGCGGTCTATGATTCGCTCCATACTATAAATCTAAGTTGAACCTCGCTCTACAGAATGGTGCCTCAAGCTCGGTGAAAGACATGAAAGCAAGAGAGTTATTAACGATCAAACAGTGTTCACATTTTTTTGGGACACTCTGTATTATGTATTGCAATTTGCCGCAATTCGTGCCGATGGCTCTATTCACAAATTCCTGACAAGAAGGCGAAAGAACTCTAGAAGATGTGTTCAATGCAGAAATTCACCCTCTTACATATCAATAGTTTTGTTGCATTTCGTTTCGGGCAGTATTGAGGTAAATGCCACAGTTTCCAACAGTTCGTTTGACCTTGCTTGAGTTGGAATAATCTACAGGATTGTTATTTGGAAGTGCCGAAAAGCAAGCGATATGCAACAACAGTTAAGTCTCTGCAACAGCGTGCTTTTCCTCACATCCCTTCAACTATTTCTTCCAAATTTTTTGAAATAGTCTCGAAAATCTTGAGTTTGAAAAAATTGTGTGAAGCATGATAGCACCAAACTGCGGGAAGATTCAAAAATCTAAATGCATAGCTTAATTATGCTTGACACTAATCTTTTCGAGTTAATATCTTTTCTAATCCCAAATGCAAAGATATCAAATTAGGCATCAGCACAGGAGAACTCAAATTCCAAAAATACGGAAGTTATATCTGCAGAATTCGCTCATATCAAGGGCAAGCCATAGGCAAGTCCTTAATGCTTTTTGATGTTATTCTTCTCAAAAATCCAGCTAAACATAAATTAACAACCTGATAAAGATTTATTGTCTTTTGAATTCGTCTCCTGTAAATAGAGATTTTGTCTTTGATTTATATCTTAATTTTGTGGCACGCCTTGAACCGTATCAAATAAATAGATAAATAAATAAATAAATATCTTAAAGAAAGAATAGCTACGAAAGAGGAGAAAGAGTTGCATTGAATGACGCCATTATTGTTTATTCTCTGTTTATGAAGTTCGAAGGCGAATATGAAAACTAAGCTCATTCAAAAGAATTATGGAAGAGACAGGGCAAAAAATGCAAAAAGATTTGATCTGTAAAAAGTTTGGCTCTAGGTCTTCAAGGTTACAAGCAAATCGCATAAACTGCATGTGAGTAGAGGATGTAAAAACCTCACTGATTATAAGGAAAAAGGAAGAAGCTTTTTTATCGCACATTTTTTCAAATGCTCTCTAAAGGCTACTGCATAACGAAAGCACGAAGCAGTTTTAGCTGAGCGGGCGCGAATGCGCGCGTATCTTCACAGTTTTAGATTCTCCACCTCAAGCACTCTGCGGTTAATAAAGTCGCAAGAATGAGAATGTAAACACCTACATCGCGCCTACAGATTTTGCGCCTTCGTCATGCAGCAGCACAAATGTGTACAACTTGCGAATAGGTCCAAAAAACGGCAGAAAGTTCTACACCGCCCTATGTAGTGAAAATGAGATGAACTGCAGTAATCCTCGTCTATTAGCGTTTCTGGGTGATTTTTGTGTTAGATTCTTCGCTTTTCGCAAAGTTAACACACATTATCATTTTGCTTGTTTGCATATTCTTACGTTTCGCTATCCGTATCAATGCAGGAGAATTCTCGTCTTTACTATTGCACCAACATCAAACAGCTATGCTATGTATTCGCTATCTTCGCAGTGATGCTGTAGTTGACTTTTTGAAAATGCGTTCAAGGGTCTTTGCTAAAGCACTACAAAATCCACATCCTAGCTTGTTCCACCTGAAAAATTGGTGAGAGTGTCTCAAGAGCAGCTGTTGACTCGCAGAGGCCGACGTCCTCAAGTGAGATTCACTACGCTAAGAACTGGTAAGCTCGTGAAAACTGGATTTGTTGAAAGGTGGGCATATGAGATCTTTTTGTACTCGATTTCATCACGATCGGCATGAGGGCTCTATGCTGACAAGAAATAAGTGGAATAAAGCATATCGCACGAGAACAGTCTGCTCAGTTTGCGTGCACCTGCTCTGTATGTGCAAAGATATGAAATCGCTAGCACTATGCCCAAGACGACTTCGTCGTCACGTTTCCATCGCCCAAACCATCGAAATCCTCGGCGATGAAATCGCGACGACGAGATCGCGAACGCTATGCCCGTTGCCAAACCCGTGCACGCAAGCCGTTCTTATAGGCGCTCGGACGACCTCGCGATTGCCTTCTACCATCAGAGGCGGCATCCCGCAATGTATAACCATGAGGGTCCACAATGACTCTGCGTCTCCAACCTTAGGAAAACTTTTCCATTAGTCCGAACTCAAAATGGAGAGAAGTGGCGAAATGCTAGTTTTCGTCACTTCCGTGCTCTCTAACAAGGGAAGTCACTTAACTTAGGTCGGGCTTTTGAAATGAGACACATATGTTTGGAATCAGCTTGAAACGCTGATTTCAAATCTGCTTTCCTTAGCTGCGAAGCGTTCCTCTGAAGCGAGTTATGAGCTTTTTCTTGAGCAAATTTTGCCTGTTGACCGACTTAGGCATGCTACGGTATCATCATCTAGGTAGTGGTTCAAAAGCACATTAAACCCTATCAAAGCCAAATGACTCAGTTTGATATTATTTTGATTTTTCACCACTTTTTGGGCAGATTTTCATCCAAAGACCTTCTTTCCATATTCAGTTGTATGTCAATGACACATACTAAAAAAGCTCATAACTCGCTTCAGAGAAACGCTTCGCAGCTAGGGATAGCATATTTGGAATCAGCGTTCCGAGCTGATTCCAAATATATGTGTCTTATTTCAAAAGCCCGACCTAAGTTAAGTGACTTTCCTTGTAAGACGGATTTCTGGGATCAGCGCGTCGGATTACCCCAGCTAAGCGAAAAAATAAAAGGTCGAAGACTTTGTTGTACTAAAACTCAGCCACAAAATGTTCCAACCACTTTAAGCATGTATTTTTTCAGCAAAAGCTTGAGCGAAGCAACGTGAACAAACGAAATTCGGTATTCAGCTTAATCATACAGCTTAAAGCAACGTAAACTCGTAGTATCCTCAAATGACCTTCGAGAAAACCTGCAGATATAAAAGCATCACAACGAAAAGTTAAGTTGTTCCAATCCAAAAATCAAGAAAAGGCCAATTAGGAATTATATCTTCAAGATTTTGCAAAACGCTCGAAATGTTGCAATCAACTATGAGAACATCAAAGCTAGCAATTATGGTGTACAAGGAGTATCTTCCAAACAATTTTATAGTGGAAAATGCAAGCATTATCGCTACAAACTGCGAGTTAGCCTAATGTAC